TCAAGTGGGAGCAGCAATCACCGTCTTTAGCCCGCTAGCTTACAGTTGTGGAGTGTATCATTCTCCAAAAAAATTCTTGCTCGTCATTCAAAAACACTTGCAAGGAAAACAGTGGGTGCAAAGAAAACTTAAAATTGATGATTTATACTTTAGATTGATTCAAGGACCTAAGTTGGCTGTCAGTATTGGCTTTCTCAGGGCGGTTACGTACATGGCAACCTTAGAGGTTAGTTTTTAAGTTTATATTCATTTGTAAAGTAATGTTTTGAATTTTATTACAGTCTTTGCTAATGTACATTGGCTATTGTTTGATGGCATTCAACCAAATGTTTCATGATTCTACGGAGCTAAATATAAGCTATAAAATATAGTTTTTTAACAAAATTTAAAGTAATAAAAGTTTAAAAAATGAATAAATTGTTTCAATGTCATATAAATATATTTTTTATTATCAATGTTAAAATAACAATTTATTGAAAATGTTGTGATACTAATCACCTTGATATTTAATCAAGAGCGACCTTTACTAATTAAAAATTCAAAATAGTAAACAAGCGACCATGCTCTTTCCCAACCATTTGAGCATTATAAAAGGAAAAACAATAGAAATGTGCAATTTGTAATTGCAAAAAATTAATATCCTTGATTTAATTAGTAACAACCTAAAATGGATGCTGACATTACTTTAACAATGACACAAATCACTTCAATGAAACTCTGGTATTTTGCCTTTTGCAATAATATAAAAGAACAGCAATATTCTTGCTCAAAGCCATAAACGACATTCAAAACGTTTCTGAACGACTTGCTAAGTTTCATTCTAAACTTACTCACTAGACTAACCGTTTTTCTCTTTTCTTCCTTCACAATGAACTCCCGAACTTGCGACTTTCAAAGTGGCAGCTACGCTCAATACGAGCTGCAGGTGAAGCTGGAAAACTACAAACCCGGTGAAATATCAGTGATTGTGAAGGATGACGGGAAGCAGTTGCTGATTGACGCCCGCTATGAAAGTGACCACCCCGACTACGGCCAGCAGACGCACGTCGTCATGAAGCAGTTTATGCTGCCGCCCAGCATTGACTCCAGCATGATGCGAGGCCGATTCAACGCCAAGACGGGAATGCTAGTCATCTACATTCCCTCGATGAAGATCATGGAGCCGGGATGGAGCTTCATTCCCATTCAGTTCGAGTACGGCTCTAAGGGCCACTGCAAGGTCTCCACCTAACCATTCAGCAGAACCCCTCTCTGCTTCACAGCGCATCATTTCCTCCTTAGAGCATTTGTTACTATGATTTAGTATTCAGTTTACTTTGTTAGCTGTTTCAAAATTGCTAGGTTTAGGTTTCATTCAAAATTCATTACTGTTTAATTTTTGTTTAATTTTTTAGCTTTTTTATTTTATTTAAATTAGTTATTGTTTGAAAATATGTCTGCTATTTGGATGATTTCAATAAAATTTGTTTATGCGCTTTAAATTAAAAAATGTTTAACATAGCGTTTGCTTGTAAAAACTGTTTAACAACTTATTAAAATTTATCAACTACATATGTCGTTGCAATTTTTGCTTAGAGAGATGATCATGAAACATTCATCGTTTACATGTTTATAAACTAAATGTTTTTGACACATTTTACAAACATTTGAACAAACATCTAATCAAATTATTTGCAAATTAAAACCAAAAAATGCAAATAAAAAACAAATTGTTTATTTACTGTGTATTGCTTTTAGCAACCAGCAACTTCTTTTTTGTGCAGGCTAACAGTCTTCCAAACTACAAAAGCCGCAATGACCCCAACTGCGGGTTGAAAAGCAATATTCCCGCTTTGTTGGATCAAAATTTTTTTCTAAAAAGCAATTTTTCACTAAAAATCGTCAACGGAGCTAATGCCCAACTTGGCGATTTTCCATGGATGTGTCGACTGGAAGCCAAAAACACGAGTACTGACAGTATGTTTGGTTGCAGCGGGTCAATCATCAACTCTCGTTTCCTCCTCACCTCTGCCCAATGTTTGTGGAATTTGAGGGCAAACAAAACGGCAATCATGTCGCATGTTGTCTGCAACACAGTTCTTCAGTTTACAAACACATCCGCAGATGTTCGCGTGCTTGTGAGCAAAACTATCATGCATCCAAAGTATAACTTTCCCTACAACGACATTGGCCTGGTAAAGCTGGAAACCGATCTCGACTTGTCCGAGGGCTCCCCACTGGGCAGTATCTGTTTGCCCGAGCCTGAAGAGCCTATCAATTCACTTGACGACCACTTTTTGCTGGCAAATGGCTGGGGACTAGAATGGTTTGAAGAGCAACCCAACGGAACTATAGTTGTCATTGGCAACACCCTTCAAAAAGTACTACTAAAAGTGCAAGCGCAAGAAAAATGTACCAAAGAGTTCGATCCATCGCTGAACAATGATCACCTTTGCATGGAAACGTTTGGCAATCGAAGTACCTGCTTGGGAGACGAGGGTGGATCGCTGGCGCACTACCATCAAACGAAAAAGCGTTGGTTTACTTATGGCATTCCTATAAAGGGTTTTTGCGGCGAACCAGTGCCTTCAATTTTCACTCGAATAACCACTTTTTCAAAATGGATTTGGGAAACTGTTGCAGCTAACACAGAAAAAAACATTTAAAAATTGTTTTTTCAGTAAACTACTTCAAAAAGAACAAAATTAACAACAACACAAACAAACATTTAAATACAACAATTTTATTTTATTACTTTTTATGTAAAGCCTGTTATTTATTTTGTAAATGAGTACTTCTAAGTGTTGATTTGCTAAGTTTTAATTATGAATTTTTTGTAATGTACAAGAAAAACATTACTGTATTTATGATTATCATGTGAAATGTTTTACTTTGTATTCGATAATCACCAAATAATTTAAAAGAATAATTATGTAACAAACGACTATTTGACAAATTTTCACACTAAAATTACACAAAAAATGTAGTAAAACATTTAGTAAAACATAGTAATAACATTTTAATATAAACTTACTTTTAACAAGTTTCGTATTTTAAAATGAGTTGTTGATCTATTCATTTGTGTCAAGTAGTTAAAATCGGAATTTAATTTTTGTATTTTGTTATTGTTTTTCACAACTTTTGCACAATACTCAATTAAACAAAAAAGCAATAAAATTGTTTCTGAAATAACAACAATAAAAAGCAATTTTATAATTAATA